TTTAAAGAGAGAGTGAGAGAGAGAATTTTAATATTTATTATTTATTGGCAGACACAACATCTTTGTATGTGGTGCTGAGAATCGAACCCGGGCCGCACGCATGCCAGGCAGGCGTGCTACCGCTTGAGCCACATCCCTAGCCCCTGACCCTGTAGTTTGATGAAGGGAATTCTATGTTTTTTTAAACTTAATGTGTCCTTTTTTTTTTTAAGTTGTAGGTGAACACAATATCATTATTATTTATTTACTTATTTTTATGAGGTGCTGAGGATCGAATCCACAACCCACTGCCTCACATGTGCTAGGCATTCTAGCACTGAGCACCAACCTCAACCCTCTATGGGTTTTTTTTTTATAACAACTGTATTGAGTTACAATTCACATGCCATAAAATTTACTTATTTAAATGTACATTTTTATTGATTTTGAGTATATTTACAGAGTTGTACAACTGTCACCACAATCAGTATTATAACATTTTAATTACCTCTGAAAGAAACTTTTCAGCCATTGTCCATCACTTCCCATTCCTAAGCAACTACTAATCTTTTCATCTCTATTGATTTGCTTTTTCTGGATATTTCATACAAATGAAGTCATTTTATACATGGTCTTTCATGACTGGCATCTTTCATTTAGTGTAATGATTTCAAGGTTCATTCATGTTGTCATATTCATCATTCCTTTTCATGGCCAAATGGTATTCTACTGCATGGACATGTTGCATTTTGTTTATCCATTCCTAAGTTGACAGGCATTTGGGTTGTTTTCTGTTTTTGGCCAAGAGGAAAAAATGCTGCTATGAACATTCATATACATTTTTGTATGGTTATATGTTTTCATTTCTCTTGGGTATTTTCCTAACTGTTTAATATTTTGAGGAATTGTCCAACTCTTTTCCTGATGGCTTCACTATTTTACATTCCTGCTAGCAATATGTGAGTTCTTATTTTTGTACATTTTTGGTAATGCTTGTTTTTATTTGACTTTCAGTTATAGTCAATCTATTGAGTGTGAAGTTGTATCTCATTGTGGTTATAAATTTCATTGCATTTTTTTAAATTGCTGAGTCAGATTTCATTGTATAAGCATAGAATAGTATGTTTATTTTCCTATTAATGGATATTTTGGGGCTGGGGATGTGGCTCAAG